GATCTTGGGTTTCTAACCTTCAGAATTGTGAGCAAATAAATGTATGTGAAGCTGTTACAGGGTTCCAGGGCAGGAGGAATAGGGAAACCGAGACAGGAAAGTTAAAACAAGGCCAAACAGTGTGGGCAACTTGCAGCCAGCTTGTAACTAGCAAGCCATTTTCTTCCCCAGCCAAGGACAGGAGAACAAGTGGTTAAAACCTCCCTAAGGAGAGGGTGCAGAAAGGGAGGGGGAAGGAGGAAAGGGAAAAGGGGCAGTTTTACTCCCTAAGCAGAGAAGCCAGCGGTCTCAAGGCTTGGCAAGATAACGTTGCCAGGTGCTCCTCATGAATTCTGGGAAGGCCCCAACAAAGCAAAAGGGGCCGTGAGAATGAACCTGCACCAAAACATTCAGCAGAGGAGTCTTGCGACCTGACCTATCGGCAGGAGGGGATATAACACCTTAGGCCTCCCCCCAACCTGCTCTTCAGATCAGCGGAGAGCCCTCTGTGCTTCGTAAGCCGGATGTGTAGGTTTGCTTGCTTTGCTTTTCCAATAAAGGTGCATGCTTTCATTGCTTTAATAAATTGGCTTTTCACACCGCAGGCGAGGTCTCTCGTATAAATTCATTTACATGAGAAGACAAGGATCGAGGTTGGGAATAGCCCTCTCCCACTGACTGGGGCGGGTGGGGGGCCTGTCGGGGAACACCTCTCTGACGTTGGCGAGAGGTGCCTACAACAGGCTCCCAGCCAGTGGCACTCCGCTATAGCAGCCCAGCAAACCAATGAACCAGGTATTTCAGTATCTCTTCCACCTTAACTGTCTGTCGTTTACTTTCACGTGTGTAGAACTGTTGCATAGTTGATGAGAATTTCAATGGTTTGAGGTTTAAAATTCTCTTCAGTTGCCATGAGGATGCCATTTAATGTCATTTAATAGGTTTGAGTTCGCAGGTGTAGCAGACAAAGGCGCATTCTCATGCAAGCCGCCGCCTTCCCGGCTTTTTGCACTCCCAGTAGTAACAAATATATTTAAGTTATTATAATACACCCCCACACACAGGTGTAATGGAAATGAAAGTTTCCTGAAACAATGCTTTCTTGTGCGGAGGGCTGGCCGGGGCGGCAATGGGAAAGTGTGTGCTTCTGGTTACCAGGCCTGTAATTTGAGCAGACGCCACCATGTAGACAGTACTTGGTTCAGGTCTGTGGCTCCCGGGGCTTCCCTTTTGTGTCAGTTACTAAGACACGTCCGTCTTAGACCGTTCAGGTTGCTATAACAGAATACCACCGATGGGTGGCTTATGAACAGCAGGAATTTATTTCGCACAGAGCTAGAGGCTGGGAAAGCCAAGGCTGAGGCACCGGCTTCCTGTGAGGGCCCTCCTCCAAGTTCATAAATGGTCATCTTTTTTTTTAATCCAGTAGGTGGTATTGGGATGGTTCCCCACTCATCTAGATGTGAGGTGCGTTCAGTGCTGCCTCCTTCGGAAGGAGCATCCTCCTGCGAGCCTGGCTCTTCCTCCTGTTGGCTGACAGAACGGTAGAGCCACCGACACATAAAACTGCCCTTTGTGCGCGGCTGGAGACAGTGGTGATTTCACAGCATCCTGGGCATCTACACCATGAAGGAGGAATCGGGGCTCTGCGCCAGGCGCTTCTTCTCCTGTTTCCTCTTCTCCTCTTCTGGAGAGGGATGGAGGCGAGCCTTAGCGAGAGGCATATTGTCCTGGGGAGGTCATCACGGCCGGACAGGCTCATCGGTGGTCATCTCGCGGTGGGTCCTCACATAGCAGAAGGGGTGAGGGGCTCTCTGGGATCTCTCTCCTAAGGACACGAATCCCATTCATGAGGGCTCCACCTTCATCACCTAACCACCTCTGGAAGACCCGCCTACCAATACCAACATGTCAGGCATTAGGATTTAACAAATGAATTGGGGGGGGAGGTGTCACAAACATTCAATCGATAGCAAGTACAGAATAAGCCATCTGACTTTAATAAAATAGAAAGGATACATATGCTAAATGTCATCATTAACATTTACTTGAAATGTTTTAAAGAAAGAATAAAACTTAAAAAAGCAATGGTGCCCTAGCCGGCTTGGCTCAGTGGACAGAGCATTGGCCTTCGGACTGAAGGGTCTCAGGGTCAATTCCAGTCAAGGGCATATGCCCAGGCTGTGGCCTCCATCCCCAGTGGGGGGCGTGCAGGAGGCTGCCGATCCATGATTCTCTCTCATCATTGATGTTTCTGTCTCTCTCTCCCTCTCCCTTCCTCTCTGAAATCAATAAAAATTAAAAAATAAAATAAAAAATAAAGCAATGGTGCATTTGTGGGCTGCAGTGATTAGCATAACCCTGGACGGCCTGAGCCAAGGGCTCAGACAGACCATCAGAGGCTCGGGGAACGACATATGTGTCTTTCTCTTCTTTGGAAACTGAGGATTCCACACACCTTTGCCCTCAAATCTCTTTACCAGTCCTATTTCTGACTTTCCTCTCTTTGTCAGATTTTGTTTAAAATTTTTCTTGACATCCTCTCTCCTTTTATACTTGAGCAATAAATGTGTGCAGAAGTGATTCTAATCAACAAGCTTGTCACTGGCTGTATAAACCTCAAAGTAAAAGAAGAATGAATAATCCATTTAAAAAGTGCTGTGCTTGTCACTGATCACCTGAGACGGATACGCCCTGTAGAGGGCAATATTTCTCGTTGCCTAGAAGTTTATAATATTTCAGAGACACAAAAATAAGGCCGCGTAGCCACACCCCAGGAGGGCAGAAATGAAGAAAGCCTTCTGGGCTCAGTAATGATCACAGACGTCCACCGGAAAGGAGACATCACTGATGATACGCTCGATTATTGTATGGATGGAAAAGGGGCCACATGCTGACCTGACAAGCTCAGGGAGGCCTGCATGGCGGTCTTGCAAACTCAAGGACCTAAAGTAGCCACAAGGATGGTCTGAAATTAAAACTTTTAACTAAAAGCAGTTATGGTGGGTAGTCACATCCTAGGCCTGTATCTTCCCTGACAAAGGTCAATCTTTACTTTAACTGAGCCTATTGCATATCATTGAAATGTCAGGGTATATTAGCATAACCAATGGACACAGACACTGGAGTGGTGGGGGGCTTGCCCTCAGGGGTGGGAGTGGCAGGAGGGTTAATGGGGGGCGGGGAGACGTATGTAATACTTTAAACAATTAAAAAAAAAGAAATGTCAGGGTAACTTGTAACTTCCCTTTTCCCTTTTTCTGGACCCCTCAGGGCATAACCAAAAGCCCTGGGCACCAGGATGGAGACCACAAATTCCTTCATTGTTATTGTTATCATATTAATTGTTGACTGCTCACTATCCTGTACCCACCTCAGTAAAAGAAGTATGTGTCTATCATTTTACTTTTTATCCAAACCCAGAGGTCCCCCCCCTTTGCTTTCTCCCGCCTCCGTAATCTATCACCAATGGATTTCACGTAACCCACTTACGTCCCCTCCTTTGATTGTAATGTATAAAACAAGGTGAAAAACTGCCATACTCTGGGGCAGCGGTCGCCAACCTTTCGGACCTCACAGACCACCAGCGCAACCACCGCTCTGGAGCATTATCCCAATCCATTGAGATTCTGCTTCCCAGCAATTGTCGACATGCCTGGGTTGTGAGCTCGATCCCCAGTAGGGGGCAGCCGATCAATGATTCTCTCTCATCATTGATGTTTCTCTCTCTTTCCCTCTCCCTTCCTCTCTGAAATCAATAAAAATATTTTTTTAAGAATTTATGGTCCACACTTCTCCCTGCTCCTCCTCCCCAAACCAGGAAACGCAATGTCCCATAACAGCGACCCAGAAATAAAAAGTAGTTACGTTTAGTACAAGAAACATACAAAGAGGTTCCTTACGAATTTAACGTTTTTAGAGCGGCATCAGAAAAGAGGGCGTGATGGTTTCCTTTTTTGCTGTGGGTGAGTGTTAATACCTCTCAAGGCCTTTACAAGCCCCCCAGTCCACACATTCTCATTTTACAGAGGAGATATAGCATCTGCTCGTTTTTGGAAGAGTGATACATAGAGCAAGAATTCCACCAGGGGCAGTGCGCTCAGCGGGCACGGGTCTGTCTCTTGCTTCAACAGTGTTTGGACGGAACAGACCCAAGAAGGCCCCAGCTTCCAGCCTCCGGCCACTCTCCTGTCTTATCCAGTCACCACCTTCAGAACCACCTCCGGGACCAGCCAACACACTGTTGATGTTTATTTCTACCTTAACTCCTTATTGCCGAACAACCATGAGCTCCCAAATTCATCAGAATCATTCCACCCACCGAGGTGGGGGCTGCGGTCAACCGCCTGGCCAGCCTGCCTCTGGGGCCTCCCACACCTACCTCTCGGCTTCTATTTCGACCTGGACGATGGAAGTGGCTCTGGAGGGCGTGGGCCACTTCTGCGAGTTGGCAGAGAAGAAGCGCGAGGGCGCTGAGCGTCTTAAAGTTGCAAACCCAGCACGGTGGCTGCGTTCTCTTCCAGGAAGTGCTGAACCCTCCCAAGATGAGGGGGCAAAATCCAGGAGGCCATGGAGGCCGCCCTGGCCTTGGAGAGGAACCTGACCCAGGCCCTCTTGGAGCTGCAGGCCCTGGGTTCTACCCACAAACCCTCAGCTCCGTGACTTCCTGTGAACCACTGCCGGGGTGAGCAGGTGAAACGCAACAAGAAGATGGGCGACACCTGACTCACCTTGCAGGCTGCCGGCCCCCAGGCTGGGCTGGGCGCGTATCTCTTCCAAGGCTCCCCCTCAAGCACGACTAGGAGCCTGTGGAGCCCAGAGGCCTTTGAGGGGCCCCTCGGCCTCCCCCTGGTGTCTGGCTTTTACCGGAGCCTCTCCACGAAGAAACTACTAGCCGTTCTTTTAACCACCCTGAAGCCCTCTCCCATGCATTGGACCAAATGAAACAATAAAGCTTTTTGCAGAAAAAAATAATAATAATTCCATGAGGTTTAGTGGAGACAGAATATTCCAATACTCACGTTGGAAGCCAGCTGCTCGGGTAACACTTGGCTGGTTCTCTACCACGTGGTTTATGGGGAAGGTGATCTTGTTGCTGCTGTTGTCATAACTACAAGCTGCGCTGCCATTTCCTGGGGGTCAGATCGTTATTATGGGCAAAGCTTCCTGAGGTGAGGCCGACGGGTCCTCGGCGACTGAAGGACCTATTGGGTCAGTCTCTCCTCTCTGTTCTCCAGCCATAGAGCTGTTTTCACGGTCTCGCAGCAACGCGCATGGTCCTCGTGTTGAGGCTGGGCTCTCCTGGTGCTGGGAGACCAACAAAAGACTCCCGTACCTGCTTGTTGATGAGCAGTTTCCCGAGACCGTTCCTGGGGGTCCTGGCTCCTGGAGGTCCAGTTAGACGGTCGCTACATGAGTATTCCTCGGCCAATGAAGTTTTGAAACGTTGATTGAAGCCACATTAATTTGTCACAAAAATGTTCCTTTACTTCAGTCAGATGTCTCAGACCCTTCGGAAGTTCATGTGCCTCGTGAGTCTCCTAGAAGGCAGACATGACCCAGATCATGTCACTCGCTTTTTTGAGTAGAAACATCTTTTTTTTTCTTTTTGGCCAAACATCTGGAGGGGCCGGTGTCCCGAGAAATATTCGTGGGGGCATGCTGCATGACTTCAACCTGTACCTTACGACCAAGTCGTCCGGGTGGCTCTCTATTCCAGAAAAACCCTGTCAACTGGGGTTTTCAGATACAATTTAGTGAAGCAGTTCATGGACCCCGTCCAAGGACCCACAAATCAGGGTCGGCCTGGAATGGCTCCTTGGCCTGTGCCCTTGGTCAACCTTTGGTCACAGTACATAGATTGGGGTTTCAGATCCTGGTTCTCCCTCTTCCTCCCTCTCAACTTCTCTTTATCAGAGTCACGGAAATAGTTCGAGCGCGTTCTTCTCCCTCTTCCTCCCTCTCAACTTCTCTTTATCAGAGTCACGGAAATAGTTCTGAGCGCGTTCAGACACCAATAAACAAATAAATAAATCCCCCCCAAACAAAAACAAATGCCTTGCCCATCAATGACGGTGGCAGCTCAGCACTTTCAGGAAAGGTCCTCATTCCAGTCCCCTTTCCAAAGGGGCTACCTACCACATTAGAGATGCAGGAGCAACCGCTCCGTGGTAGAAAGATGTGCTTCCAAATAAACAAGCTCTGAACTTTGGAAACAGTCCCGTCGTTGAATCTGAATGCATTTCAAGCTGTCCGCTCCCGGGAGGCCAGGATTGAATTCTGGGGAGCAAGACTGTTTCCTGCCCAGCTTCCCGGGTGGCAGGGACCAGCGCCTCACTGTAAACAAACAAGGAACCTGGGTCTGCGCATGGGTTTCCGCCTGTGGCCAGGAGATGGCGCGTTCGGAAAACGTCTGCCCGCATCTCGGTGGGCACACCAGGCCTTTCTGCTTTTCACACGGGGTCAAAGGTCCAGGGCAGGACTAGAAGACCCCGTATTGTCCAAGACCGTAATTCAAAACCGGAAGATGCATCCAGTTCTAGGGTGTGTTTCTTTGGGAGGACTTGGGGGGATTGCACACGGGGTCAAAGGTCCAGGGCAGGACTAGAAGACCCAGTATCGTCCAAGACCGTAATTCAAAACCGGAGATGCATCCAGCTCTAGGGTGTGTTTCTTTGGGAGAACTTGGGGGGATTGTGAAAAGGGCTTTTCATTCCTTTTTCCAGCCACGGCTTCATGGTTCCAGTTCCTTGACCTTTCTCGCTGCCCTAGAGGAAGAGAAACTTCCTGACTCGTACAATTGGACCGTCTGACCGTTCTTGTTCTCACAGGATGTCAGATTGGGAAGGAGTGTTGAGGACACTTGGTCCAGGCTCTCCCAGCGCAGGAATTGATCTCATTAGTAAAGACGCCATCTATTTTGAAAATCTCACTAAGGTCAACAGTTCGTTCATTCACTCAGCTGTCAGTTCCTTCTAGACCAGTGTTCTCAACCTTGGCTGCACATTAGAATCGCCTGGGAATCTTTTTAAGCTCCTGATTTCTGTTCTAGACGTACAGGCGTGGTGGTTGGGTCAGTGGTCGGCAAACTGCGGCCCCTTGAGTGTGGCTCTTCCACAAAATACTACATGCGGGCGTGCACGTACAGTGTGATTGAAACTTTGTGGCCACACTCAAGGGGCCAAAGAGCCACATGTGGCTCCTGAGCCGCAGTTTGCCGACCACTGGTCTAGGTGGGTTACTGCCCTGACTGCTGCCCTCACACGGCTTACGAGTCCTTTATTCATTCACAATTCACTCGTTACACGGATGTTCAGTTATTTAATGGGTTGGCTTCAAGAATAAAACGGGTCCTGTGCCTCACCTTACTAAACCCTGCAACCAACCCCTGACACCGGTACTGCCACCCTCTGCCGTGGCGGGTAAGGGAGCGGACACTCAGAAAGAGTAAGTCCCGTATCCCAGGACACAGCTCATAAGTGGTGGTGGTTGTGGCAGGGGCCTGACTCCGAGGCCATGCCCTGAACTGTTCCCTTCCTTCTCGTGTGGACGGCCCGTGGAGATCCCGTCTTCTCACGCTGCCACCTGAGCGCTCTCCTGTGAACCTTGATAGACACGTCCGCCTCTCAGGGCACCTGGATGGGTCTTGCGACTCCGAGGCCATGCCCTGAACTGTTCCCTTCCTTCTTGGTCTTCCCGAGGGCGCGTGGACGGCCCGTGGGGATCCCGTCTTCTCACGCTGCCACGTGAGCGCTCTCCTGTGAACCCTGGTAGACACGCCCGCCTTTCAGGGCACCTGGATGGGTCTTGTGCTCTTCACTCCTCTGTCTCAAAGCTGCTCCTGCCCTGGCCAGTGTGCTCAGTGGTTAGAGCGCTGGCCTGCCCACCGAAGGGGCTTGGGTTTGATTCCTGGACAAGGGCATGGTACCTGGGTTGCGGGTTTGCTCCCCGCCCCCGGTCCCGGCACATGGGGTAGGAAACCAGTCGATGTATCTCTTTCACATCAATGTCTCTCTCTCTCTCAAAAAATATCCTCAGGTGAGGAATAACCAAAAATAAATAAATACATAAAAAAACAATAAAAATATTTAAAGCTGCTTCTTCCACATGATAACCCTTCGTTAGTTGAATGCCAAGAGCACGCCCGGACACTGTTTTATTTTCTTAGGCTAAAGAGACCCAGTTCCCACCTGCCCCCGAAAGGCATGGCTTGCGACCTCACCGTCCTGCGCTCTTTGGCAATTGGGCCTCCTGAGCTACCTCGAGGCTCTGTCAATGTCCCTCTTTAAACATCGCGCCCAGGAAGGCGGGCCCGGAGAGAGAACGTGGCGGTGAGCAGGGCTGGCCATGCTTTCTGTCCGGAGCAGAGCGTGTGGGTTCAGCTCGCTCTCTCCATGAAATGAACCCAGTCTTAACCCAGCACGAGGCTCGGGGACCTAGGCTCGGCCCCTGAGGACTGGGCTCGGCCCTCAGGGTCAGTGTGCGCCTCTGCCGATCTTGGCTCCGCCCTTGGGGTCTGGGCTCAACTCTTCTGGGGCAGTTGGGCTCTTTGGGGCTTGGGCCATTCGCTGGGGACTAGCTTCACCTCTTCAGGCCTCAACCCCACTCCCTGGAGCTACTCTAGGCTCTTCGGTGCTGGGCTCTGCCCTTCTGGACTGGACTCGGCTGTTCTGGGCCGGGCTCCGCCCTCTGGGCCGGGCTCAGCTGTTCTGGACCAGGGTGAGCTCTTTGGGGCTCGGCTCGGCTTTTTGGGCCCTCGACTGGGCACTTTGGCTTTGGGCTCCACTCTCAGGCAAAATTAAAAGAACTAGGAGGAGAGAAGCAAGAGATGAGAAAATTGAGAGAACGAGGACTGATTAAGTCCTCTGATTGGACTGAGTTGATTAGGTCGGCGAAGGAGGACAGGGCCGTCAGCCATGGCCAGCCTGTGGGCAGGCAAGGGGGTGGCCCGGGATGATGTTCTTTGGCAATTGGGCCTCCTGAGCTACCTCGAGGCTCAGGGAGAAGACCGAGGAGCCCCTCAGTCTCTGACTTCTGTCCCCAGGCAGCAGCTTCCTCTGATCCTTGGGTTCGTGTCCAGACTCTGAGCCTTTCCCAGGGCGATTCCTGGGGTTGGAGGGCAGGGAGGGAGGGAGGAACACACATTCACGGAGCCCAGACTAAGTCCACGCTTTGTAGGTGTTATTTCATTTTATCATCCCTGGAAGGATTGTATAGATGAGTAATAGGCTCAGAGAGGTCAAGTAACTTATCCAAGGACACACAACCACGGAGAAGCCGGAGATAAGACCACAGTTTGTCTGACCAAGAGCCCATGTGCTGTCCACTGTCCCACACTGCCTCCCAGATCAGGGAGGGGCTCGGGCATCTGCACCCTCTCCCACCCTGGGGCTGGCTATACTCATTGGACTTCCTTTCATATAACAGTAGTTACAGGCCTGCTGTTAGAGCTTGTAATTCAATGTATTAAGAAGGACACTCATATATTACTATATCACACATTTTAAAGTATTTCACCAGCTCTGGCTGGTGTGGCTCAGTTGGTTGAGCACCATCCCATGCACCAGAGGGTCGAAGTTTGATTCCCATAGGGCAGTGGTTCTCAACCTTCCTAATGCCGTGACCCTTTAATATAGTTCCTCATGTTGTGGTGACCCCCAACCATAAAATTATTTTTGTTGCTACTTCATAACTGTAATTTTGCTGTTATGAATCGTAATGTAAATATCTGATATGCAGGATGTATTTTCATTGTTACAAATTGAACATAATTAAAGCATAGTGATTAATCACAAAAACAATATGTAATTATATATGTGTTTTCCGATGGTCTTAGGCGACCTCTGTGAAAGGGTCGTTCGACCCCCAAATGGATCGCGACCCATAGGTTGGGAACCGCTGCCATAGGGGTACATGCCCTGTTGTGGGCTCCATCCCCAATAGGGGGCGTGAAGGAGGCAGCTGATCGATGTTCCTCTCTCACATCAATGTTTCTCTCTCTCTACCTCTCCCTTTCTCTAAAATA